TCGGCTCGCTCGAGCGCTGTCCGTTCCATGATGACTATCAGAAGCGTAATACACACACGTGATACCCGCCTGAATCGATAAGGTTGTGGCGCGTGAAGCAACCACACAACAAACCTGCAGAATTAATTTGGTGCATTCGTGACAGGGGAAAAGAGTGGTATATATCGCACAGTCTCGAATATCGTGTTGGTTTTTATTCATTATTGCGTTCATCTCGGCGTGGCAGACGAACCAGTACCTACCCAGAACAGTGGCACTCACGAGATCCTCGGTTCGATTTCAAACGAACAATATCATTACTGCATTTCAATGGTCGTGAAAGGGCATTATAAGTGTGGAACGCATAATCGCTTCCGCAATTCATTATCACACGTGAAGTGATATGGTACCATAGTTCGGAATATATTTCGAACCTTCTCGGCTGAACTCCACAACATTCTGAAAATCGCTAAAGGGGTGAATGTAAAAGCGTACGAAAACCACTAAAACATTTCTCATGCTGCATACTTGATACTTGATGGTTTCCTATCCTGATTCTGAGTTCTGCAATCTTTTCAATTCTACACAGCGACTCCCAGTTGGATTGCCACCATGGGAATCGCGAACTGTGGGAATTTCCCACAATTTTCTATCAGTATGTTCGGATTTCAAGCCAAGCTTGGCCCCCACGAAACTATTCTCCGTCGTTGACACAAAATGCCGCCCAAATTACCATCGGAGCAGAGTTACAACGTCTTATACGAAATACACTATGAGTAATCGGCGATTACTAATCGCCGGGGTATTATTATCATAATCCCCTTCAATCGCGAACTCGGGAGTAGCCACGTCCACAGTCCCTCAGGAAGCACACCAATGATGCAATATACCAAGGAGTCCTCGGCAAGGACAGGCTAATTCTGATAGCATATACATGCATGCCCTCTAGCAGCGCTAGGATATACGTTTAGTTCTCTCGGCTGAACTCGGATCCCTAGTCTCGCTATACATAGCGAGAATTCAGACACGACTCGAGATAGAATTCCCTTATTGTCATCAACACGCGTAGCTGACCATGTGCACATCTTTCAACACTGCTCAACCCTTGCGTCCCCATACTTCGAATCGATCGGCTTATCCCCCTTCTTTCCCCAGTTCAACAAAGCATCGTTATCGATCTCACCCATCGATGGGAAGCCATTGTACCTGACGACACTCTTCATGTCTCTATAATCACTTAGAGAAGAGAAAACTGAGAAGCTGACTCGAAAGTTCATGACAATCATCGGCATTCCTATTCCTACCAAGGCTCTGCTGAACTAAGATCAAGTTTACATTGACACAAGATGAAGTATAAAGTTGAATCATCAGGACAAGTGCCGAAGGAAAATTTGCACAAAGTCGACTACGTCTGTTGGTAACAATATAAGAATTCTGAAGAGAATTTGAGAAATTCTTAGAGGAAACCTGTGGGAGGCACCGGTGTCACTAACTCCTTACTACTCCTTACTAAAACATGACACCAATACCATCACCACAACTGAATGGAAGGGCATCGGAACCTCCTCATGCGGGAACAAGTCGTGAAATTCCGTCATGCTATAATGTAACTTCACGACTTATTCTCAGATTATCCTTCCATTGCTAATCTATCAGACTAAACCTACCCTATTCCCACCACCTTCTTGTCAGGATTCACAATAACAGCGCCAACCTGAGGATAAAGCTCCCGAAAGTGATAGAGCAAATCACATACGATTCGTATGATATGATTGGGACTTTTAAATTATCCTACTTCACGGTACGAGATAATGAAAATCTCAATATTTGCCGAGTAGAAATTGTTTTTGCCTATGGAATAGACCGGGATAAAGTGTTTCCACAACTCAGATAGAATATCGCTGCCGCCGGGGATCGAACCTGCGTGGAAGGGTCCTTGCTCCTCATCGCTGTAACATGCGCGAGCGCCATAAAATATTCTGTCCATGCGAGGTTATCCTCTCTCGGACCGCAATCATCCTCGGGGACTCTCATAGTCGGCGAATCAGCCATGTTATTAGAAATACCACCGCTAAACAGTCGAGCCGCTCGATGTACATTCTTTTATTGGTATGGTTAGGAGACATATGACACAACACGAGGGTGTCTTAAAACACAAAGGTTCCATGCTGGAATCGTATAGTATCATCGCCTTCACTGCCTCAGTAACCACCCTATAAGGCTCATAGGGTGGCCACTGAGGCATATGTGCTGATAGCAGTAGCAGCAGTATGAGCATTAGTATGAGCAAGAGAGTAGAGCATCTGCCGTGCTGCTCATAGTATGAGCATCCAGTTCGACTCAATCGAACTGGACACTGAAGTATCACGTAAAAGATGATACTCTGAGCATC